GAAAGTCTTGATTCCTTTTAAAGCCTCATTTTACTCAAAATAACACACTTTCTTCCATTCTCTTATCCTCTAGGACTATATTTCCATCTGTTTATATGGGAAAAAATCTCTCTATAGAGCCTATAAGCTTATTACACTCAGTCTGTCCTGAGATAAGGCCCACCACCCTCCCCAGCCCGCTCTGCCTTGCTGTTCTCAGATATCTGACAGCCTCCTCGCAGCTGAGCAATGACTATATTTCCATCTGTTTATAGGGGAAAAAATCTCTCTATAGAGCCTATAAGCTTATTACACTCAGTCTGTCCTGAGATAAGGCCCACCACCCTCCCCAGCCCGCTCTGCCTTGCTGTTCTCAGATATCTGACAGCCTCCTCGCAGCTGAGCAAGCTTAAATTTCTCAGGCTCATGGCGTCTTCCTTCTTCCCCATTCCATCCATCTAATCTGGTTTAATTCACTTTTTTTTTTTCCAATTCTGAATCAGTAATTCCTCTTGCAGGAATGTCTTTCTCTTACTCCTTTCTGCTATTGTCAGCTCTCATCCTCTCTTTTCTGAAGGGCTCAATGAGCTCTCTGGTGATCTTTATGAGAACGGCCCCTCCTCTGAATCCACCCTCTACTCTGCTTCAAGAAAGGCTTAATCAGCAATGAGTGCTTCCCTCCCCTCCCCACCAAAACCCTCTCACCTGGATCTGGCCTCAGATCCTCAGCAGGAAAGGGAGAAGCAGCCACAGGAGCTCAGGCCTTTGAGAGAACAGTTGCCAGTCACTGTGTATCTGAACCAGGAGACTCTGACTGCTCCTTTACCTGCTCACCCAAAACTGCAGAGACCTTCCACAAAGGACCCATGTTCCCATGAATCTGGGGACCCCTCCAGGCTCTCCCTCTTTCCTGGTTTCCCCACTTTCTATTCTATGCTTCATATCAAGATCTTCCTGCTCTCCTAGCTCCCAGCTAGTCGTGGCCCAGTAGGACTCTCTGATGAGTTTTGGAGATTCATTCTTGCCTCACCCCAGGTATCATGGTCTACTAGCCACAGGCAAGCCCTATGCTTCCTGGTGACTGGGATGCTGCAAACCAGCCCACCGGTTGAAGGGGTCCAGATGGGATGCCCGACACCATCAGGTTTGAGAGATGAAGTTCACCGGCAACCTTTTGAAATCTGTAACAAAGGTTTCTAGTTTGTCCATTCATTGATTCACTTAACAAATATTTATATACAGAAACTATGGAGAGTGCCAGGTACCTTCATAGTGTTGAGGATCCAACAGTGAGGGTGTCAGAACAGGTACCTGCTCATGGACTCTATTCTGGTGCTGGAGGGACAGGGAAATAGATCTGTCAGCTCATACACAGCATCAATAACAGTTAATGGTTCCCAAAGTCAAAAGACAAGCTGTATGATATGCAAGTGACTAAGTGGGAATGGCTATTGAAGACAAGATCTTCAAGGAATTAACCTCTGAGTATTGACATGTGGCACTAGTGGTAAAGAACCTGCCTGCCGATGCAGGAGACAGAGAAGTGGGTCCCATCCAGAGGTTAGGAAGATCCCCTGGAGGAGGAAATGGAGAATCCTATGGACAGAGGGGCCTGGTGCGCTACAGTCCATGGAGCAGCAAATAGTCAGACACAACTGAGCAAGTAACATGTTCCTGGAGGAGAGGGGCGGTGGGGAGGTAGAGAGAGGGTTCTGGGATTCAGGGAGCCTGGAGATGTGAGCTCCAAGGCCACGCTATTGCAGCCCCAAAACAGATGCAGTCATAGGTTGCAATAGGGGAGCCATGTTGGAGAAGCAAAAATATTCACACTTAGTCCCGGGCAGGCCCTGCACACGCCCTACTATCATCTCAGTTCTACTCTCCTGTACAGTGGACATCCTGAAACAAAACACACATCTGTAAAAATACATGCAAAAATGGCACTCTGATACTTATGCACGAGTGTCCAGTGTGCTAGTATAAATTCCAACTCCAGGCAAAATGACCTCCTTGACCTTTTTAATGGCCTAATAAGCAGATCTCCCTTGAGAAGGGCTTCCTCCTATCATGATTGTCTTTTTTCTTGCATAGATGTTTTTTCCTTGACTACTATGTAATGGTTAAAAAAAAAAAAAGAAAGAAAGAAAAAGAAAAAAAGCAACCCTATGAAATAGAAGGCACTTTGAAAGCACGAGGACCGCTCCGTTCTCTCTCAAGTCCTGCTACCCCGGCCAACAGTGAGGCTTTAGGATAAAGTTAGGCCTGTATGAAGGATGAATGGGCCCAGTCTGTCTCCTGCAGAGCTCTGCTGTGTGGATGGGGCCAGAGTCGTCACTTGGTTCATAAGCTTTAATAGAGCGTCTTTCATTCAAAGATCCCAGGACACTTCACAGCTGCTAAAATGATCCTAAGCAAATATTTGTAGCCACACAGTACAGGTGGGTCTGTGGAGGCACCGAGAAGAAAAAAAGGACTGACCAAAGACCCCAGGAGTCAATTGCAGAGGCAGGTCCAGATTCCAGGACCTGGACCCATTCAGAGCTCTGTCTGCAGGCCCAGGCCTAGAAAGGGTCACTGGGGCTTTGTGACGGAGATGAGACTTGACCAAACAAATTTGAGATCCATAGTAACAGCCAGATGTGAGCCCACCAGATCCTAATCCTATGTCACTCAAGCACTTGTGCATGGTGAGTTTGTGACCTGCTGCTGTAAGTGGTTGGGAGCTTTAATAATTAAAGCCCTCTAATTAGATTGACAGAATCTGTCAGACCGAGTTCATGCACTAGAGTGTGTTCTGTGTTCCTGGAAAATTCACATTCAGCTTCGATTATCCTCATTTCCTGTGTGCTAGGGCCAAAAAGACCAATGTAAAAAACAATCACACAGCCATATTGCCAAGATTAGGGCAGAAAAAAATACAATCCACCTGCGTAGGCTACAGGCTGGGGTCCAAGTCAGGGGGTCAGAGAAAAGATGGAATGTTATGGTCTGAATGTTTAAGTCTCCCCGCAAATTCATACCATGAATTTTAAATCCCTAAAGCTGATAGTATTAGTAGGTGGACTATCAGCTTTGGCTTCACTGGTGACTCAGTGATAAAGAACCCACCTGCCAATGCAGGGGATGTAGGTTTAGTCCCTGGGTTGGGAAGATCCTGTGGAGGAGGAAATGGCCACCCACTCCAGAATTCTTGCCTGGAAAATCCCATGGACCAAGGAGCTTGGCAGGCTACAGTCCATGCGGTCTTGAAAGAGTCAGACATGACTTAGCGACTAAACAACAACAGCAATTAGTAGAAGGAGCTTAGGAGGAGGTGACCAGGTCTTGAGGGTGAAGCCCCCATGAATGAGATTAGCACCCTTATAAGAGACCCCAAGGAACTCCTTTGCTCTTTCTGCCATGTGAGGACACAATGGGAAGTCTGTGACCTGGAAGAGGAACCTCACCCAACATGCTGACATCATGACCTTGGACTTCCAGCCTCCAGAACTATGAGCAAGAGATTTCGGCTCTTCATAAGCCACCGGGTCTATAGTATTTCATTAAAGCCACCTGAAGGGACTAGGACAAAGACTGCACTTTGATATGGTCCTTTGGGATGGATGCTACCCCATTCTTGCCGCTGCTAACCTGAAAATAAACAAAACTCCTCAAAACATAGAGCCATCACCTAGGGGCTCCTTCTTTGAATTGGCCACACTGGGACTGATTAGCTGAAAGACAGACAAGGCAGGAAGGATTCAGGAGGAAAGACGGGAAAGAGAGAAAGAATAAGAACTCCAAGACTCGTTATGGGCTGCCTGACACTAACAGTACTTCTCACCCGATTTTCTCCCCAGAGATTGGTTTGTTCTGGAGCTTCTCCCAAGGGCAGGATCTCAGTTGAGATCCCCCTGGATAACAGGCACTCAGAGGAGCTCAAAAACATGTAGGCAACTGCCAGCATGGTTATGGGAGCTCAAGGGCCAGTTTGGTACCAAATAATGGTTATGAATTCAAATTCAGCCTCCTCCATTACTAGCTGTGGGATCTTGGGCAAGTCACATCATTTTTCTGTGCCTCATTTTTCTGGGCACATGTAGTATGTGCTTGCCAGGATTCTGAAGGAAGAAATTGGTAAAGTGGAGCACTTAGAGCTTGGTTGACAGTACGAACCCAATAAATGTCAGCCACTATTATTATTACTATGATGTAGCAAGCTCAGCATACCCCAGAACTTATTAGATTTCTGGTTCTTCTTCAATGCAGATCCAATTCGCTCTTGGGTCCAATTTAACTTAGGAATTAGACACATAAGACTTAATTTCTCAATTAAACGGCTTCAGCCAAAAGACCACATTTGTTGGCGGATGAGGAAGGAAGCTGGGCTTTGCCGAGTGGTGCTCTCATCACTGATGTTTTGCTGGGCATCAGCCAAGGCTGGCCCTGGGTAGCCTGAGAGACAGGCCAAATTTGCTTACAGGGAGCTGCTCCCCTCTGGTGCCCACCTTCCCCGGCCCACCCAGGATCTATGACCCCAGAACCCCCCAGGGAATGGGCATGGGTGGCAGCCTTCCAGTATTGATTAATCATCAGATTTGCCGTGAGTTGGAGAGCAAGGGCCAGCCTGGTGGGGAAACCCATGGCTTGAGGCCACGGTGGGAGAGGTGGCCAAGGAGAGAGCCAGAACCGAAGAGGGGTGGACCTCAGTGCTAGGATTTGTCTCAGCAGGTCTTGGGCAATGGAAAAGCATTTTGTATACATAAAGGACCACCCAAATGTTAAGGGGCACTATTCTGTAACTGTTATGACTTTACATTCAAAAACCACAGTTGTTTAATATCCATGCAACAGGCAACACAGCAAAAAAGCCTGAGCTCTGGGTGTGCCCCGCCTCCGTGGCTGACACACGTGTGACCCCAGGGAAGTATCAAAGCCCCCCTTTCAGAGCCTGACCTGTCCCCCTGTGAAGTCCCAGGACAACAGGGTCTTTGATGAACAGACGGTGACAACATAAAACGTCTGGCCCGTAGCAGAGACAGTCAGCCGAGTCTGCGGTCCCCTCTCTCTGGAGAAGACACAAGGTACTTTTTCCACACAGAAATGGAACTTCCTAATATTGAAAAACAAGACTGACCCCAGAGAAGGCGTCACTAGTAAGTGATTTTCACAGCATCTTTTCTCTCCTTCAAGACCACGCAGAGAGGAACTATTTATTTCAGCGTGGTTCAGACACCAGTGGGATTTGTTCACAAAAAGTGGGGTCTAGGGATGTTTTCCATACGTGGGGCACTTTTGTTGACTATCCTGTCTCAGTGGACTCTGCCCAGCAGGAACCTCCAGGCGTGTGTTGAAAGGGCAGAAGGAGCTTGCCAGGGAAGCCCAGCACGCTGGGAGCCTCAGTGCCAGGCTTTGCGTGTCAGCTGGAAGGCTTTCCCAGGCGATTACTGACCACAGCAGACAACCCCACTGGCCCAGGAAGGAGGAGGGGTGTCCCGGTACAGAGGGAGCACCGCTCTCTCGTCCCATGAACACAGCCAGCACGCCCATGGCTTCTCACATGTCCCCTGGCCTGGGCTGCTCCCTAGCCTCCAGACGGCTGGCCTGGGAGCTGAGAAGCCTCTTTGCGAAATCACCCACACCCTAGAGGCCCAGGCAGGCATTTGTCACATGTGGGGATGGGAGTGTGCGGAGGTGGCATGAGTTTATTATTTCAAGATCATTCTGATTGGCTTCCCTCTGCGCCCTGACCTGCTTCAGTTGTGCCAACGACACCACCTCATGGACAGACATGCTCACTACAGATGACGTGGGGTTCCCCCCACCCCCGTCAGTATTCTCTGGGAAAATGAACTCTTCTCCAGACATCCACAGCAACTGACTAGGCCTGTGGGAATATGAGGGAAGTTGGGAGTTCCAGGAACTTCAGCGCCAGCATTTCTATATTGTCTGGAAGCTTCCTGTGGTGGTCAGGGGCCACAGGGGACAACCCAAGGAGAAGTAAAAGGAACAGCCGGGGAAGAGCAGCCCAGGAAAAATATCCATAGGGAATGCGAGTGTATGAGACGCACGGTCCCAGAGATTATGTATATAGATAGAGAGAGAGAGGGAGAGCGGGGGACTTCCCAGGTGACTCCGGGGTAAGGAATCCGCCTGCCAATGCAGGGGACATGGGTTTGATCCCTGGGTCGGGAAGATCCCCTGGCGAAGGAAGTGGCAACCCACTCCAGTTTTCTTGCCTGGGAAATTCCATGGACAGAGGAGCCTGGCAGGCTACAGTGCATGGGTTCGCAAAAGAGTCAGACACCGCTGAGTGAGCGACTAAAAACAACAACAAATAGATAGATACCTTAGGACTCGTAACTAATGTGAAGGAAGAGAATAGGTTGGTATCCTCATCTGATGAGTGAGGTTGGTCTCAATGATCCTAATGTTTCCTTTCAGGGTCAGCAATCTCTAATGCTCAATGAAAAAAACTATAAAAAGTTTGAATTAACTTTCGCAATCCTAGTTGAGTTGTTAAAACAACAACACAGAGAATCCCAAACAGTGGAAGATTTAAAAAAATTGTGTTTGACTCAGAAATGCAGATGGGCCATTCTGTGTCATATCGAAATATTGATTGTTTTGCAGAGAACTAAGTGGGTCCTGGGAAATGAATAATTCACATTAATAGTAGTTTGCATTTTATGATCACTAATGGTGGTCAGCTGAGGATGGAGTGTGTGCTTGAGAGATATGGATCCATTCACTGGTTTGACGACTATCTATTGAGAGTCTGCACCCAGCCCTCACCCTGGGAGAGTGGATATATTCTGCCTATGCATCCGCACATGCTAAGTTGTTGCAGTTGTGTCCAACTCTTCGTGACCCTATGGACTGTAGCCTGCCGGGCTCCTCTGTCCATAGGATTCTCCAGGCAGGAATACTGGAGTGGATTGCCATGCCCTCCTCCAGAGGATCTTCCTGACCCAGGGATTGAACCCATGTCTCTTACGTCTCCTGCGTTGACAGGCATGTTCTTTACCACTAGCGCCACCTGGGAAACCCATTCTGCTCATGGGGGCATCCTAAAATGCAGATTCCGATTTAGTAGGTCTAGGGTGGAGCCCAGCATTTTTTAAAGGCTCCCAGGTGAAATCAGACACATGTGTGCAGTAAGATGTGTGTCTTATAAGATTTTCTGCTGGTTGTTGGAGGAGGGATCCAGATCTTAAAGGCAGTGCAATTCGAAGGTTGGGGACAGTCCAAATGTTAGAAAGGAAGGCATAGCTTTCTTAGAAGACGAGGGTCAGACCGTCTGAGGATAAAATGTTGCTGTCATTTAAATGTTTGTGGATAATTGAGAATTAACAGTTAGGGGAAAGGGAGGGAGGGTAAAGGAGTTCTCCGGGCAACAGGACCCAGGCATTGTGATGTCAGCGGGTCTGTTAACATGCAGCAATGGTTCTGAAACACAGAGACTCTCATCTCAAGGCTCTGGTCTGTCCATCCTTTGAATTGAGGTTTGCCTTTGACTTAATGGAACAATTTTCTTCTGGTGCCACAACAGCCATTTCATTCCAAGATGGATTGCAATGTGAACTGATCTTTTTCCATTTCGTGTCCCAAACCGCAGCACAATTAGTTTCTAAATAAATGCCAGCGGCTTCTGGGGGAGGCTCTGATTGCGAGGCTGGAATAACAGTGGGCAGCCACAGAGCGGGTCCTCGCTGGCTGGTCCCTACCAGGGCTAAGAGGTCCTGACGCCCCGCTCCTACTTACATACCCTGGATTTCCTAAGAGGCATCCACGCTGATGAGCCCTTATTGAACATTTTGGTCACAAAGTGGTTTCAGGGACAGTAAGAAGATGGAGTTTGTTTGGAAAGCCAACATATGTTTTAAGGTAAACACAGATCACCTCTGCCAAAAACAGCTGTGTCTGCTTCCCGGAACTCCCGATCCTGTGTCCGGACAGACTCCGACTGCATGGGGAGATGACTCCCACCATGCCCCACGCTCTGATGTGAGTGAGGACAGATGTTATGGTTTGAAACGTGTCCCCAGCCTTCCAAATTCATACGTCAAAGTCCTAACCCCTAGTCCCTCAGTATGCCACCTTGTTTAGAAACAGGGTCATTGCAGATGTAATAAGATGAGAGATCATCCTGGAGGAGTGCTCAGTCGCTCAGTTGTGTCCAACTCTCTGCGACCCCGTGGACTGTAGCCCGCCAGACTCCTCTGTCCATGGGATTTCCCAGGCAAGAATCCTGGAGTGGGTTGCCATTTTCTCCTCCAGCATAGTGGAGGAGGGTGAACCCTAATCTAATATGAGTGATGTCCTTACAAAGGGGGAAATCTGTGAAGATGGAGGCACAGACTGAGCTGATGCTTCTATTAGCTTGGCCAAAAAGTTTGTTCAGGTTTTCTATTACAACAAAAACCCAAACAAACTTTTTAGTCAACTCAATACAAACCAAGGTGGCCAGCAGACTCCGGCAACCCGGGGAGAGACATGAACACACGTCCCCTTGCAGACCTCAGCAGGACCCAACCCTGCCCACACTTGACCTCTGGCTTCTAGTCTCTAGAACTGTGAAACAATACACTTCTGTTGTTTAAGCCCCTCGGTTTGTGGACTCTCTCAGAGCAGCCCTAGTATACTAATACAATAGACTGAAATAGAGTTAGGCACCCATAATATTAAATATTTTTCTGTATAAGTCCTTGGAAAAAATCATTTAATGTCTATAAAAAGTGAAAGTTGGAGCAAGTGGTTAATGAAATTCCTTGCATTCTGTGAAGGTGAAGCCTTCTGTGATTTTCAGAGACTGTGATGTATTGATCAACCAAAGGTCATTTTGTTGATCACATCAGCCAAGTGAGGGCTGAGAAAAACAACACCCACATCCACAGGAGGCTGAGGACAGGTGGAGGAAATGGAATTCAAACTACCAGGTAACCAGGCAGAACCTTAACCCTGTGTGGCCTCAGATGCTAAACAGAGACCGGCCCCTGCCAGGGAGGGCAGGGACCCAGGAGCAGAGGGTAGTCTTGTCAGGGGGCTAGGACAACCCCAAGGGGCTCCTCCTGCAGGTGGCATGACTGAGAAGCAGTGGGTAGGAGGCTGAGACCGCTGGCCTGAGTTTCCATCCCCCCGGGTATGCAGTTAGCACTGAGGCAGGCAGGTTGAGTGACTGTTCTGGAATATTTGTTGAAGGAGACCCTTGGTAAGCTGGTGGGTAGGAGCCCAGAGTCATTGTAGCTTGGGTATGAAAGGAAATGTGACTTCACATTGCAGTCACTGGTAGGAGGCACGTGGGCATTGGGGTGACATGTCCTGTGAACAGGACAGAACAGGGGCCAGTCCATGCTGCTCATTAGTGATTTCCCTAGTCAGGGCCCTGCGCCTTGTAAACCATCAGTTCATTGCATCAAAGAGGGATGATGAAATAGGAATTTGTTCCAGGATTGTGGGAAACAATTAGCCAATTTAGTCTTTAGGGCCATGTTACCCTTCTAGACTCAACTTTAATTAGCTGCTTATTTGAATTAAGTAATTAATCACTACATTGATTCTATTTAGTGCATGTTGGCCAAGGATAATGTGTATGACCACAAAGGTTAGCTTAGCAATTCAAGAATTTGAGTAGGAGAGGCAGAGTTAAACATCCCCATGTTATCAGTCACTAAATCTCAACCAGCTTTCTGATATGTGTCAAGTTCTGTGCTGGATGCTTGTAATCAATGTTCAGGGTCATGTAGAAAGTGGCCAGTGATTATTCTTCAAAACAGTGCAGTAAGCAGAACCCCCATGCTCCCTGAAAAGCCTCTGTTTTCTCTCTCTGTTTTTGTACACATGGTTTTTCTCTTCCAGAAATGCCCCATCTTACAAATTCATTCCTCAAGGCTTCTCTCTCCAACGACTTTATCCACCTATCACCTCTGGATCTGGTGAATAAGAGTACTTCCTCCTTTGCATACCCATCACTCATCACCAGTGTCTTCCGGAACTCATATGCAATCTTGTATTCTAGTTCACCACCATTTGCCTCATCTCTTTTACTAAGTTATATGTTCCCTGGTGTGGTGGGTTGAATATTATCTACCTTTCAGAATTCCTGTCCATCTGAAACCTCAGAATGTGAACCGATTTGTCAAGAGGGTCTTTGCAGATATAATTTGTTAAGGATCTTGAGATGAAATTAAGCTGGTTTTTAAAGGAAAGCCCTAAATCCAATGACCAGTATCTTTATAAGAGAAAGGAGAAGGAGATAATGGTCACAGCAAGACACAGAGTGAAGATGACCTGGGAAGACGGAGGCAGAGATCAGCCACAAGCCAAGGAAAGCCAGGAGCCACCGGAGGCTAAAGTCCTCAGAAGCAAGGAAGACTCAACTTCTCCTTGGACATTTGGAGTAAAGATGCTGACACTTTCCTTCCCTACTTCTGGTCTCCAGCACTGTGAGAAAAGAAGTTTCTATTACCACCACGTTTGTGGTAATTTGCTATGGCATCCCAGGGAATTAATATACCTGAGTATAAGGTGATGATGCAAAGGTAATTCATTTGCATGATGGGTACCACATTATTATTCTGAGTCACAAGTGAAAGTGAAAGGTGCTCAGTCATGTCCGACTCTTTGTGACCCCATGGATTATATAATCTATGGAATTATCCAGGCCAGAATACCAGAGTGGGTAGCTCTTCCCTTCTCCAGGGGATCTTCCTAACCCAGGGATCGAACCCAGGTCTCCTGCATTGTGGGCAGATCCCTTACTAGCTGAGCCATAAGGAAAACCCATTGTTAGTCACAAACCATGGGCAAATCACTATTTCACTTGGTGTTGATAATAAATTATTACATCAACGGCTCTAGAAGTTTATAGTAATGGTTTCCCCACCAAGGTCCCTCAAGAACAAGAAAAAACAAAAGCCCAGCAAGATTTCAGACCAGAACCTGTCAGCACAGGGCTATTCCTTTGACATCTTGCTTCAATGTCATTTCCTGGCATTGCGAGTTATTAAACGCTTACATGGTGATATCTGATCTTTCCTTCTATTGTTCCCCAGTGTCTACCAGACCTCTGTCGTTCAAACATAAGCTGGTGTGAAACTAAAGAGAAGGCAGGGACGCCACAGGGCACCACACAGCTGTGCTTTCTAGTATTTGCCCAAATGGCTTCCTAGGGTAACAGCGATCACTAAAGCGCTCTGTTTTGAGTAAGCAACCTCTATTTTAACCACAGATGGCTCTGAGCATTGTAGCCCTCTAAGTGATTCTAGAATAGCACATCCCTTCTCAGCCTGGGCATTCCAGTGTGGGAGTGTGCACTCACCAAGCACGGATTACTGGTGTTTTGTTGGCAAGGATGAGGCAGTTGCTCTCAGGGTGGGCTGGGAATGCAGCCACGATGCATTTATAAAGCAGACCTCTGCGCTTAAGGCAGAGAGTAACATGTATTGCTTCCTGGAAAACTGGACTCCATAGCTGAATCTGGGTCTGTTGCCCACTGCCATGCTGTCCTTGGTGGAGGGAAGCAGAGTGCTCCATCATAGGCATTATCAGGTCTTGGGTGGTCCTTATTTTTTATAAATCCTGTGCTTTGTGGTTTGAGAAGAGAGCAGAAATAGTCTATCCCTTTAAATGAATCATCTCAGACACACAGCTCTGCAGCAACATATCCATATTGATGAGTGCAGTATGCCTGCTTCCATCTCCACCCACCTATCTCCTCTTGACCTCTTATAGCAGACCAACTCAGGAGAAAGGAGGAGACTGACGAAGGAACCAGCTCTCCCACATCAAGTCCCTGCGACCTCTTGAGTGTCTACTGCCAGAGAGAGAAGCTAACTCTGGGTGAAGGAAGGCAGCCCCAGCGGAGTAGGGGAATCATTCTAAAACCCAGGCTTGTCCATGTTATCTTGGGGGTAGGAGTGGGGATCGGCACTCAGTTGCCATGGCAGATGGAAGTCCAAAGGGACTCCCCTACTTTCGGTGCTCACTCAAGGGAACACCCCGCTTGGCGAGTCACCCAGTGCCTCCTGCCCTTCCAGGGGCCGTATCATACGTGGTATGTCTCACTGGGCGGTAAGATCCATGCCAACTGATGAAATCACCACCCACCCAGAGTTGTTAAAAGACTATTGATGTCAAGCTGTTAGTGGCCACCTTCCCATTGTCCAATCCAATTAAAATTAGCCTTTATTCTCACACATGGAAACCCAAAAGAGTGTCCACAGGAGTATGACTCACTCACAAGCAGTGGTCTCTGAGGGCTCTGCAGATGACCACAGACTGATTTCTCATAGGACAGGGAGACTGGCTCATCTTTCTGTATCTTCAAAAGCTTTCTTACTCCAGAATCATCCCCACGGACATGTACATCAGACTTGACACAGCTCATCTTCAAAACAAAAGCAAACAAGTGGTCCCTTGACCTACATTCCCACACAACCCTGGTGCATGGCTGTTTCTCCGTAGAGTGCCTGTGTGAATGTAGGCTAAGTCACTCCAGTCGTGTCCGACTCTTTTCCAGCCCATGGACTGTAACCTGCCAGGCTCCTCTGTCCGTGGCCTTCTCCAGGCAAGGACACTGGAGTGGGATGTCATGCCCTCCTCCTAGGGGATCTCCTTGACCCAGGGATTGAACTGTCATGTCTTATGTTTCCCACATTGGCGGGCAGGTTCTTTACTGCTAGCGCCACCTGGAAAGCCCCTCTCCTTAAAGTAAACCTCCTCAAACATTGTGTGTTATCACTGTCTCTATCTTCTCAGCCTCCATTCTCTCCCAACTCTTCATTCCCAACTCTATCAGAGGGGAACCACTGACTCCACTTACTTAATCCAGAGACCAGTTCTCCATTCTGTCTTATAAAACTTCTGAGCAGTATTGTCATGGTCGACCCTCCCACTTTCTTAAAACTTTTTCTTCCCTAGGGTCCTAGGAGACCATGTTTTCTTGGTTTTCATCCTACCTACCATACTGTTTCTTTCTTTCTTTCTTTTTTTTTCATTCTCATCTGCCCAACATTTTAATGTTAGATTCCCCTGGGATGGAATCTTCAGAGCTTTTCTCTTGTCTTCCCTTCCTTTTCCTTCTCTTCTCTTTCCTCTGTTCTTCTCCTCTCCCATCTCTCCACCCCTCCTCTCCACTCCTTCTCCAGGTGATCTCTTTCAGTCTCATACCACCTACATATTCATGGCTCCTAACTCTGTCTTTCCAGTCCTCATCTTTCCCCTAAGGAAGCTGTCTCCATGACATCTCTGCTTGGACATCTAATAGACACCTCAGATTGCATGTCTTGACATCCCTCCAAAGCCTATTTCTCCCCTGGGATTCTCATGGAGGCAAATGACCCCATCATCTACCCAGTTGCTCAGGTTAAAACTTAAGAATCATTTATCTTTTATTATTCCTTTTTTCCCCCCTAGTTGTTATCTCACATTCAATGCCATGGTCCTATTAGCTCTAACTTCAGAATTTCCTCCGGAATCTCATTACTTCACCACATCCTTTGCTCCAGCCCTCATCCGTCACCATCTCCTGCCTAGCCCACAGCAATAGCTCCACTCCTTGTGTGTCCCACTTCCCCTATGTACTGCCTTCTCCACCCAACAGGCCAAATAACCTCTTAAGAGTGTAAATCTGCTACTTTGCCCTCTTGCTTAAATCTTGTTAATGGTGTCTAAACACATAACAGTAAAATTTAGGCTGCTTGCCATGTATGTAATCTGAGCCCTGTCTACATGGTCTGACCCGGTCCTCCTTGCCTCCATTCTCATCCTGTTTATTAGGCTCAGTTACACTGACCTTCTTTCTAGACCTCAGACACCCCTCACTTGTTCCTGCACCAGTGTCTGCATTTACTGTTCCTTCTGCCAGGAATGCTTTTCCCCTGACCTTGGCATCATTAGCCTTGCACCTTTCAATTCTCAGCTTTATTGTCACCTCTTAAGAGAGAACTTCCCCACCTTCAGTTTAAAGCAGCTTCCAAACCTCTTCATTCTCTATCTCGTTACACTATTTTCCTGCATGTCGATGAACACTCTTTTCTTGAAATGATCTTTTTATTGATTTATAGCTTATTTTTGTCTTCCTACACTGGATTATAAAACAGCAATCTTGTCTGTCTTGTTCACTGCTACTTCCCTAACTTATACTAAAGCGGAGCTCATATCATATGTTCAATAAATATTTGTTATATAAGGAAATGCTCAATAAATTCTCTAGTGTGTTTCTGATTCTGGTTTGAAGCAACACAGCTTCTAAACCTGGCAGCACGGAAGAATTACCTAGACATATTTTTAATAATTCAGACTCTTGGGCCCCATCCCAGGATCTATTGATGTGCCACTGAGAGTATCCTGGTCTTTCCATTCACTCTGATGAAAAGTCTCTAATTGGCAAAGGCAAGGTCAGGGGTTAAGATCAGGCTAATGTAATTTGCGTTAAGCGGTCAGATGAGTCCTTTGTTCCACCAGAGTAAAAAATCTTTAGAAACCACGAGATTGCAGTTGCGGGTGGGGTGGAGAGAGACGAGAAGTTGGACTCTGCGGTGTGGGTCTATCTGGCTGTTGAGAGTAGAGATCCAGTTTTACCGCTTTGGGAGCTGAGTGAGTCTGTGAATTCCCAGGATACCTCTTCATTCAGAGAAAACCCTTTACTTTACACGTCCTTTACATATCCTTCAGCTTCATGATCGAGAATCTGCTCTTCAATATAGTAGCCATGATTTACATTTGAATGAATCAAAATTAAGGTATTTGGACCAAATTTATTAAAATTAAGACAGAATGAAGAATTCCATTCTTCAGTTTCGCTGGCCACATTCTAAGCACTCACTCCCTGCCTGGGCTAGAGAGAGCCTACAGTTGTGACAGTGTGTTTCCATCAGTGTAGAAATTTCTGTGGGTCAGTGCTGGTCTGAAAAATGTGCTCCTGGGACATTTAGGGCATCCACCTGCTGTTGTGATTGCTTTAAATGCCACCCTTGTCAGTTGTACACAGAATTAAGGGACGGGTCTCGTGAGGTCTGGGAATTTCAGTTGAGCAGGTGAGAAGCTGATGAAAACGGTTTGTAAAAACGCATGCCAGCAGACTGGCCCACACACAGAGGGGATGCACATTTTCACAGAAATACCTTTGTTGCTTCCAAGCACATGGAGAAAGCACATCTCTGAGATGGGGAGGACACTTTCCTTAGCTTGTTCTCCTTGAACTCTGAGTCCAAGGTCACTCATGGGAACATCAGCAGAATTTGTTAGGTAACTGTTTCTCAGGCTTACATGCTCTAGCCCCAGTGAGAGGATCAGCCACTCTGAGGCAGGGGAAATTACTTGTACTCTTATCTCCTCCTCGGCATTTCACAGAGATGATAAACACTAGGACTTAGCCTAACTCGGACAGAATGAGCTCTGTACATGCCTCTTTTTGTTTGCTCATGAGGTTCTCAAGGTCAAGGATTGCATCTTAATCCCTTCTCTGCAGCAACTGACACTATGCATGATGCATAGTTGTTTCTATACAAATATTCACTAGATTGGATGGATAGGTGACTAGATGGATGGATGGATGGATGGATGGATGGATGGATGGGTAGATGGATGGACTCTGAGCCACACTGATGGAAGAGTCCACATGGTAATTTTACCACATGGTAAAAAAAA